GTGATCCAAAAAGTCGAAATTCGGACTGAAATACAAACAGGTCCGCTCGAGCGCGGGATTTTCCGCTCGAGCATGAGCGTCAGACACAGACTTCCATTCGAGCGTCAAAAGCGCCGCTCGAGCGCCGGATGCACACTTTCAGAAGTTTTGTAGTCGATGGTCCCCGCTTGAGCGTGAAAGTGGACGCTCGAGCGTCCAACGATCTGCAGAACAAAATACTGTGAGATGGAAAATCACGCTCGAGCGTCAAAACGCCCGCTCGAGCGGAGAAGCAAAAACAAAAGGGTTCGCTCGAGCGTCAAAAGCCCCGCTCGAGCGTAGAGGTCAAAATCTGGGCATCAACTTTTGGTTTCCGAACACAACCAACCTGTTCCAAACCTGCCCAACACAACCCAAGACTCAAATACAAAGAGTAAATGATGGAAATGAGAATAAGGCAACAACACATCCACGGAACCGAGTCCGGAATACAATTAAACAATGACGGGAAAACCTGGATCGCTATAGGGACGACTTTCTAGCATATCAATTAGTCGAGGGGGACCTCAAATCTCCCATCTTTTTTTCGTCGATGATAGCTTGTTGTTTGCTAAGGCAATTGACCATTCATTGCATACAGTTGAAGCTATGTTGCAGAAATATGAATTGGCCTCTGGGCAAAAAGTGAATTATGAAAAATCGGGGACATGTTTTAGCCCGAATGTGCGGGTGGAGGGGCAAGTCCGTCTTTCAACTGTAGTGGGTGTGATGACCCATATTTTTTTTTAAAAAAAAAATAGACAGTGCATAATTTAATTGAGCAAATTTTTGGATTTGACTGCTGTGTAAATTCTGTGCGAAAACAGTTCGGTTTTTTATTTTTTTAAAATAGTTTCCGATCTCAGAAAATTATGAAATTTTTATATGTTGTTCACATACAAATCTAGCACGTTGGGTAAAAATTTCAGAATTTATTAATGAGTATTTATTTTATGAAAATTCACGGACTGATTGGTGTTCAGTTTAATTTATGCAAAATTTTGTTATTTAATTTTGAATGTTTAGATCATGATTTAGATAAATTTGTTGGGTCTATTTTAGTATATAATTTGACCATGTTTGGCTTATGGGTGGGACCCATGACTTATATTTAATTTAATTTGAATTTGTTTAGTGACTCATGTTTAATTGTTTGGTCCTTTTTAATTATGTGATTGGTATTTGAGTTTGTTTAATGACTCATGTTTAATTGTTTGGTCCTTTTTAATTATGTGATTGGTAGTAACCACCTTGAGAGTTGTTATTATTTATTATATAGGAGTTATAATAAATATTTAATAGTTGATTTTATGGTGTGTACCATATGGTGAAAAATTATATATTTTATAAAGAATGAAAATGTGTATATTTCGTAGTGAACAAAATAATATATTTTGTGGTATACAAAAATGTTATATTTTGTGGTGAGAAAAATTATATTATTTTGTAATTTATATTATAAAATTTTGAGGTATTATTACAAAAATTATATTTTTGGGGAATCTAAACTTTGGAAAGCAAACCCATGTGGGTTGCCTCCCCACTTTTTCCTTCCATCTTTTCATTTCCTTTCTTTAAGCATTTCATTTGGTGGGTGGAGCAGAGAGCTCCTGCTCTCTCTCTCTGTCTCTCTCTTTCCTCCATTGTTGGCTTAAGCTTTAAGCTTAGAGTGGGAATCTTTAGAGTGGGATTTTGCAAAACTATTGTAAATAAAAGTCAGAGAGCTCGTCGTGATCTTTGCAATGATAGTCTTGGATTCATGATCGGGCAAGATTTTCCTTCCAGATCTGCTCTTCGTCATTATTTGAAGGTAGGGGTTTTCTTCATATTTTTACATTAAAGTTATGTTAGGGTTATTTTGAGAAAATATGTCATTTTAAGAGGTATTGCACATATATATATGTATATATATAATTTTCAGATTTTTGTTTGATAATTTTTGGAAGAAAATTATGTTGAAATGTTAAGAATGTTGGCATTTTGAGATTGATTTTGGAAAAATCATTTTGTGTTGTTAATTTTGTAAAAAAAATCTGAAAATAAAATTTAAAGGTTGTATGATTGTATTTGCATCATATTATGATTAGATGATTTATTTTGAGAAATATAAAGTTGAATTATTTTTTTATCTTTAATTTCGGAATTTATTTTTGAGAAAAATAAATTGATATTGAGGAATATTGTGTAAATTGTTAAGTTGGGATTATAGAGTTGTTTTAGAATTAAAAACTCTAAAAGTGTTATATTCATGATATTTTATGAAAGATGGTATGTTGATGATAAAGTTGTGTTCATTTTTGTGAAAATAAAAAATGTGAAATGTGGACTTTTGAACTCATTACCTTGAAAATGCTACTCTTGAGCATATTTCATAATTTTTGGTATAAAGATCATGTGATTAATTAATTTTAGAAAAGTTGTGAAAATTGTTATTGGTAGAGAATTTGGAAAAAATATTATCTCTTTAAGTAGCTTGGTAGAAAAAAAAAAGTTATGTTGAAATATGGTTATGTTTGAGGGATGAGGCATGTGAAGTTATGTTTGGTATTATAAATTCAAAATTTTTTGAATATAATAAACTTACTAATTTAGTGGATTAAATTAATTTTGGTTAAAATGTTATATCCGTGATGGTTAAAAGTGTATTATTGAGATTATATTATAATTTTTGATATAGTAGGATGGAAATGGTAATATTTAATAAGTATGAGATTTGGTAAACATCATATTGGTTATCTTGGTTGAGGTGAAACAAAAATTGATTGAAGGTTTTGTGTGAGTTAAAACAATTGGGAAATTAATAAATAGTTTTAATATTTGGTGTATGCTAATAGGTTATAGATTTGTCTTGAAATGACTAAGTTGGAAGTTTGTTGATTTACATGTGGTAAATACATGAACATTGACATTATTATATTATCTCTTGGGATTGTATCATGGTATTACATTGATAGAGATATGAAATTTGATCACAATGGAGCATTGTGTGGTGGAATTGAAATTAGAACTATTTTAATGCATTGTTACATATTGCGTTGCCATTCCATTTCATTGTTATCATGGATTTTGAATTGAATTGAACACTATTGTTTTGAGAAAGGAATTGTTTTTGGTGAAACAAGATCATTTTGAATTGTTTTGGGTAAATATGTTGGTAAGTTCGGTTAGGGGGTGTAATTTGATATTGGTTAAGTTGGTCTGAGTGTCCATGGTGAAAGACTAAAAACTGCGCGGATAGGTGTCGAGCCTTCCAGTTAATACTGGTAAAAATGACAGATTACAGGTGTCGAGCCTTCCAGTTAATACTGGTAAAAATGACAAATTGGTAGTACTTGTATAGTCTACTTGTAGACACCAGCCTAGGAATCACCTGAGTCGTATTTACTATCTTGGAATTTTATTGAAATTGTTGGATTAATGTGTTTTCAAATTGGCATTGTGCATAAGATTTTCAAAAGATGAGAAAAATATTTTGAGCATGACATGACATATGCATTTATCTCATAAGACTGTATAAAATGGATTTGATTAATTGTTTAATTATTTGATTTAATTGATAATGAGATAATTGAATGAATTGAAAAGGATGTCCTGTTGCTATCGAAACATGTTTGTTTATTTAAGTTAACTTGTTGTGGTTAATTAAATAAATTGAATTTAAGAGATTATGTAATAAAATCATATGATTTTGATACGATATGATTTCACGTATATGTATGAGTATTTTGGTACCCGCATTATTTTCTAATGTTTTAATATGGGATTGTTTGGTGAGCTAATGGTTGCTCACTCCCTGCCTATACATGTGTACAGGGAATGCTTTTCGGATTTGAAGATCAAACAATGGGTTTTACCATTTCATAAGTGTAATGTAGTGATGGATTGTACTACTTCATTTGTTGTTTGACTAAGCGCTATTTTTTTTTTTTATAAAGAGTAATGCCCTCTATTTTATTATAAGCCTCAGGACATTTCTTTTATTTGTATGTAAATGTCATTGTTGTATAACGAAAGGGAATAAGTATATTTAATTATTCATCATTTCATCCAAGAATGAAATATTATTTGTAAATGGACTTGATTAATGAATATTGGTAATGTTATTCGAGTAATAAAATACGGGGCGTGACAGTGGGTGTGGGCCAATTGGTGACTAACGGGAAATACTCTGGGATGCCATCCGTTGTGGGTCGGTCCAAAAAGGCAGTGTTTGGTTATATAAAAGACAGAGTGTGGCAGCGTCTTAATGGCTGGAAGAAAAAATCTTTGTCGGCAACGGCGAGAGAAATTCTTATTAAGGCAGTAACTCAAGCTATCCCAACTTACGTCATGTCCTATTTTGAGTTGCCAGATGGGTTGTGCTGTGAGATCAGTGGTATGATAGCGAGATTCTGGTGGGGTCAACGTGAGGAAAGGCGCAAGATTCATTGGTGCAGTTGGCAAAATCTTTGTAAGGTGAAGCCTGAAGGCGGGATGGGTTTTAGATCTATTTTGCTTTTAATAAGGCTTTGCTGGCTAAACAATCTTGGCGACTCCTACAATTCCCAAATAGTTTGGTGGCCCAAGTTATGAAAGCTCAATATTATCCACAGTGCTCAATTCTTGAAGCACCTCTGGGGGCGAGTCCTTCTTTTTCGTGGAGGAGCATTTGGAATGCGTGATCTCTCCTGTTAGAAAAATTACGGTGGAGAGTGGGGAATGGATCTTAGATCAGGATATGGAAGGACAAATGGCTACCGCAGTCATATTCTTTCAAAATTTGCTCCTCTCCTTCCTACTTGGGAGTCGATAATAAGGTAAGTGCCCTGATTGATCATGATTTGGGGAATTCGGATGAAGTAGTGCTTGGTGTTTACTTCTCACCCTATGAGGTTGAGGTTATTAAATCGATACATGTTTGCCCATACTTGGCGGAGGCCACATTAGTGTGGCATTACACAAAACAGGGGCTGTTTTCGGTTAGATCAGCTTATCATCTTGAAATGGGTATTCGCAGCAGGCCTGAGCATGCTTCGTTGTCGAATGGTGGCAGGGACAAGGCTGGTTTTTGGAAGAACTTTTGGAACATGCGACTTCCTGGTAAAATAAAAGTTTTTCGCTGGAAAATGTGTTTGGAAATTTTGCCAGTGCGATGTAAGTTACAGGTCCCGAAAGGTGTTAAACAACAATGATTGTGGTCTCTGTCATAAAACCCCTGAATCAATTCATCACTGTTTTTTTGATTGCCCTTTTGCGAGAAAGGTGTGGGCATGTAGTAGCCTTGCTTTGGTTGCTCATCGACAATGGGGTGGGCCTTTGTTCGACTAGATTATAGAGGTTATTTCACCTCTTCATTTAGCGAATGGGGAGTTTTATTGGGTGATTTGCTGGTGCATTTGGGCACATCGCAACCAAGTGGTGTGCAATAACAAGTACCAATCTGAGGCGGAGCTGACTCGTTATGCATATGAGTATTACCAAGAAGTTTGTGCAGTCTAGTTTCGCGTTCAGGTGTCGCAGCATGTTCACATGCCAATTCTTTGGATTCCTCCCGAGGCAGGGCTATTTTAGACTAATTTTGATGGGGCTTGCTTTACAGTCGAAGGATTGATTAGTGCTGGGGTTGTGGTTCGAGACCATAAGGGTGCAGTCATTGCTGCCATGTCAGTCAAAAGGGCGTCTGAGATGGATGTGGATTTTATTGTGGCCTTTGCAGTGCTTGCAACTATTCAGTTTGTGTTGGATATGGGGTTGCACCACATAATTCTTGAAGGTGACTCGTTAGTGATAGTTCGCGCCCTTCAATCCTCTTGGGCCTTCATGGCTTCGTTTGGGCACTTTGTGGAGCAAGCCAAATCTCTGTTGGCTAGATTCCGCTCCTGGGGTGTTAAGCATGTAAAACGGGAAGGGAATTCGGTAGCTTATTGTCTAGCTCGAATGGCAATTGCTATGGAGGGCTTCTCAGTATGTATAGAGGGGGTTCCGCTTTCTTTACGCTCTCTCGTCAAGAGGGAAGCGTCTTTTTGATTTTGCTTTCTTGTTCCGTTATTCTTTTGATTATCCAAAAAAAAAAAAGACGAAAAAAAATGACACGTGTCCGTTAATTTTGGATAGGGATTGGAGCACCAACAATATGATGACTGTTTGGGCTTGCCATTTAATTTTTTAATTACAAATATTGTACACACCAATTTGAATTAGATAATTCCAATTTGAAAAAAAGGACACGTGTCAGTGAATTGTGGATCCCAGGTAGGTACTAACTAATTTATCTATATCTATATATATATATTATATAAGAAAAATGGAGTTTCTAGTGAAAAAACTTGTAAGAGTTTCAAAGTCTCATTCCACAATTGTTAATTTTTGTGATTTCAAAAATATTTAAAAATAATTCTATTGACTAACAAAGTAATTATAGATTAAAAAAAAATACAAATCTCATCTCATAACAAAGTAATTATATATATATTTTAAAAAATTATAAATTAAAAATAACATAAAACCACAATTGCTATTTTTTGCAATTTTAAAAATATTTAAAATAGTGGTATTGGCTAACATAATAACTATAAATTAAAAAAAAAACTAAAATTGCTAATTTTTGTAATTTTAAAAATATTTAAAAATAGTTCTATTGGCTAACGAAGTAACTATAGATTAAAAAAAAATAAAATTGCTAATTTTTGTAATTTTAAAAATATTTAAAAATAATACTATTGACTAACAAAGTAACTATAGATTTAAAAATCATAATAATTAAATTACAAGTTCCAAAAATCTCTTCTCTAATATTTATCTCTTTCCTAAATCTCATAATATATCTATCTATGCTATATATTATACCAGAGTGACCTTAAATCTATTTTTTTTTTGATTTTTATAAAAAAATAAAAATAAATTAAAACATCTATTGGCTATTCCAAGGACATAAATATTAACATTTAAAATTATTTAATGCAAATATATTGTCAATAAAAAGAAAAAAAGAAAGAAAAAAGCACACAATTCTCAACCTCACTCTCCCTCTCAAAATAAATCAAGCCTTTATTTAAAAAGAATATAAATCTCATACAATCTTCTCTCTCTTAAAATAAATCTAATGGAAAGGAAACTCTCTTACCTCCCATAAAATATATACTATTAATATCATTCACAACTGGTCTGATCTATATAAACATAAAATTTAGCCTAACATAAAATAAAAATTAAACCTTATATCTAGATTCTCTCTTTATTCCATAATTAAACACAATTTTATTCCCAAATAAATTTATACATATCTATACTATATATAATTGTTTTTAAAAATCTCATAGTTTATTATTTTTTTTATAATGATTCCATGATTTATAATTTAGAAAATGAAAGATGAAAAAAATTATTCTTGTGTGCCCTTTCTCTAATCAATTCTTTCTTCTATCCAAAAATCCTAACCATCATACATTATATTTTTTCCAAGCCATTCATGCCTTCCTCGCCCTATAAATATTACATTCATAGAACGATAAAACTTATAATTTTTTAACTTTCTTTTTATGAGACAATTTGGAAGTTAGTTTATGTTTAATCTATTGTATTATTTAAACAGATTTTTTAATTCTTTAGGTAGACCATTTTTTCTTCTTATTTTTTTTTTATCTATGATCATTTTATTTTATTTTTTTGTATTTCATATTTTGTGTGTCATTTCTCCCTCGTCTCTACCAACCACTATCTGTTTTTTGTTTATAACTATTTTGTGTTGGTTAATATGCTTTTACTAGAATTTTTATACTAAAATGGTGTGATATGATCATTTGTATAGTAAAAAACATGTCACTCATTATAAAGTGATAGATCAAAATCTAAAAAAAATCATTATTAATAAGGTTTTTTTTTTTGGTATTGATTTAATGTTTGTATATCATTACTTTAAAAAAAAAATTACTTTTAATATTTTTTTGATATCATGATATGTGTTAATTAATTGACAGTTGGTGTAGAGTATTACTTCAAAGGCATATAATAGTTTTTCAAAGCTATAAAAATAAAATATTAATTTTAATCAATTTTTTCAAAACTATTAAAGGTGTTAGTCAATTATTTAATTATTTATCTTCAATATGTATAGCTCCTCTCTTTTTTTAGTACTTCTTTCTCTACTCCGCTATGAGTTCATAGGTTTTTAGAAAAAAATCATATGTAATTTAAAATTTTGAATCTTTTTATATAGGAAGTTAAAAAATAAATTTTAGAATTTAAAATATAGCTATGCAAAACCATATCCTTTTAAATATAGCTATATTTATAATTAATTTTAATCTATCTACTACCTATCCTTATTTATATTATTATATAAATAAAAATGTTGTACAATAATTGAAATTCAAAGCCCTAATCTATTTTTTTTTCAAAATTTAAAATTGTTAAAATGCATTTTTAATATCATTAATTTCTTCCTATCATAAATTTTATTTTAAATCTTATAAGATTTGTTCAAATGACTAATATTCAATTTTTGTAAAAAAATTCCAATATATTCCTTCCAAAAATTAATATAGCAAGTCTACGAAATCATATTTTAAAATTCAAAATTATAAATATTTTTATTTATTTTTATTTTTATTTTTAATAAGCATGTTAAAGTATAAATAAATATCCAAATAAAATTATACTTATTAATAAATATGGCATTAGTTTTAATTGTAATCACATCTTTTGAAAGTCTTTATTCATTTTTTTACTTTTTTTTGATATTTTAAATTACATGTTACGATTAGTTTTTCTTACTCATTAAGTTTTTAAAATTTCTTTAATTATTTTCCTTTCAAAAACCAATATAACAATTTTTTCAAATGCATATATTTTTATTCTAAAATAGTGAACTATTAGAACTATGTCATTTGTTTTATAACAAAGCATATAAATAATATATTATTTTATAGCACGGGTGACAATGCTAGTATTATATAAGAAAAAAAGATTTTTAGGGAGAAGCCTTCTAAGAGCTCCAAACCCTCATTCTAAAATTATTGAATTTTCTTAATTTTAAATAATTAAAAAATTTCTATTGGCTAGTTTTCATTTGCCTTTTATTTTATAATTCCATATCGGAAAAGAAAGAAAAAGTGAATTGTTTCACTTGCATAAAGTGAATCTTATACTCTTATTTATTTAAGCAAAAGGAGACTTTTTGTGGGACCCGAATTTTTACCATGGTTATATTAAAAAAATAAAAAATAAAAAATAAAAAAAACTAATAATAATTAATAAAATAAATAAATAAATAAATAAATAAATAAATAAATAAATGCATAGTTTAGGAAATTGGGAATTAATCGATTAAATTGTTAAAAAAATAAATTGTGAGACACTGCACGTTAAATATTTTGTTACAAAAACAAAATTAAAATCTGATTTAAATAAATAACAATAACACAAAAATTAATTAAATAACTTACTTGATTTAATTTCTTCGAATTATAATCTGATCACGTCCAGTGTTTGATACTGTGTCCTTAAGATAGATTCGTCCTCTTCACGGTGCTTTCAGAATCTGGGCGTCAATCTCCCAGGATAAAATGATCTATCAACAAATAAAAACAGCACTACAATTTATTCGTTCGTCGAACACACTAAGTGTTTATACTCTCTGTAACAAGAACTTAATGCAAAATGAAGAATAAATTTATAGCAGAAGATGGAGTACGGAAATTGGAGTATTTTTCCAAATGGGGGGCTTAGTCTATTTATAGATGGATTGGTGGCTTTCCATTTTGAATTAAACAGGTACTGTACCTGTTCAATTTGAATTAAACAGATACAAAACTGTATAGGCACTGTTTGGTTTGAAATTCAAACAGATTTAGAGCTGTTGGGTTCAAAAAACGGAAGGGCTCTGTTTGGATGTACAAAAAAAATCGGACCAGATTATTTCCGGTTAATTTGAATTATGGATTTTATTTTACTAAAAAATAAAAATAAATTCAAATGTTTTTGGCCCAAAAATATTAGTATTGGGCCGAACAAGCCCAACCTAGCCACACACCACGCACTCGCGCCCAGGCCCAGTCCGCCCGACCGACCAGACGAACGGCGGCGGCGGCGCGTGCGCGTGTGTGGTGATTTTTGGGTCCAATGGGTCTAGCCCATTTTGCCCATAACCTCTCCCTCTAAAACACTTGGGTACCCCTTGGGGCACACCCCAAGTACCAAACCCATGCCTTATAAACCCTTTCAAAACTTCCCACCAAATCAATGTGGGACAAGCCATTATACAACCTTAAGGAATTTCCACCAAAACTCCATTTTCATAGAGCACACTTTGGCTTCAATTTCCCATTCACTCGGTAATGGTTTTGAGCAACCAAATAAACCACATGAATCACAACGCGGCATAGAACACGTTACCATTTTGACCCGAGTAAATCGACGCTCGGGGCCCACCTAAAAAATAGACCAAACTTGAGAAAAAATTCTGGTTTTACCCAGGATTTTTTCTACCATTTCCAACAATCCCCCAAATGAATGGAATTTGATGACAACGAAAATGCAACAATATGCAGACTTTAATGAAAGAGTATAAGTCGAAAATATCTTGCATCAGGATAGGTAGTTTCGGCCTTGAACCTTCCCTAGTGATAACCCATTGAACTTACTGGCTAACCAATGGACGCGATGCCTTGAATTGTTCAGCCGTTTGTGTAAGCCAAGACAATAGATTTCACACAAAATATCTTCTGACACATCGTGGTTCTCACTGTTGTGTTCATTTTGGCCTTGAACGCACCTGGTTTTCATAAGTATTTCTAGAGAATGTAGCCTTTTTCATTCTCATAGAACCGGTCCCAGTTCAACACTCATATAGGTGATTCTTATTGTGAGTATCTCCTTATACTCGTTTTGATTTTATGCCTTAATCAAGATATAAGTAATCATTAAAAGCAAAGCTTATCCTTATACCCTTGCAGACAACATATGTTGCAGATATCACTCTTACCATAGGAATGGGCAGGAATTTTAATCCCTTGGTAATTTCTGGCGAG